CCTATACTTACGATTATGGCATTGTGCGCTTTAGGTCTCCTTTTTCTTCTTTTGCACGTGATTGAGTTCTCTTTCATAAAAATTAGCTTTTCCGAGAATAGAAAATGTTGATCTAGCAGATTAGGGCTACTGAGATAAATCTAAGAGTCGGTTACTGATAGCTGAAAAATCAAAGAGGACATGAACCAGAGATTCAGTAGAAATAGCCGACCAAACACATGAAAATAGAGGAACAATTGTCAACACGAACGGATTGTCCGCCATCTGATCCTCTGCCTTCCTTTCAATGTTTGTTGGACGAAAGATAATTCGGTTTTCTGGTAGAACAGAACAAAGTTACTCCGTTCATTTCTATTCATTATGGAATCGAGTCGTAGACTGGTTAACCAGAAAAAGGATAGGGGGAACAAAAAGTTATCGACAGACACGGGCAGTTTTCTGCGGTATACTACAAGAAGAATAAAACATCTAATAGAACAGTGTAATCCTCGAGAAAGATGCGCATTTTTTTAGGTAATTTTCATTTGGCCACTGCTCAATAGCAACATAATATCTTGCTACATATTCTTGTTGGGTAGGGGCCAGAAACGTCCTATTTTGCTCTGTCGGAGCTGATGTACCGCGCAACACCACCGAGAACTTTGCATACTGTAGCCAGTGTAAGCCAGGAAGGATGTCGGGCCTTGCAGATGATCCGAAGGAATGCTTGAGAGTTTGGGATGAAACACTGCGCATTTTGGGTCTCAGTCCCAACGACTATCTGTCTGAAATTATTGCAAGCAGAAGCTTCTCTTGACCACTCTCTGTATAATGATCTTTCTTCCCTTCCCTTATGTTGTGCGGAGACATGTTGGTTCAAGCTTTAGGTGTGAAAGTAAGACGTTCAATATGGTGGGGGAATGAAAACTTGTACAGAGAATTGCAGCACAAGTATGATGTGTTGGGCGACTATTGACCTTGGAGACGTGGTGCTTAAAACTTCTCTTAATCACTCTCCGATGATTTTTTCCTCTTCTTGCATTGTCTGCTGCCCCATGTAACTTCGGTCACATAATTTACCCATCACCACTAAACAGAGAGTATTGTAGGCTATTCTAGAAAGCTTAGAAATGGACCATTTTTCAACACTCATCCGTGATTAATTTTCGCGATACTCCGGGCATGCTTCGTAGCATCTCAAACTCGACTTGCAGTAGCGCTTTGGTAAATATGCCCGCGACTTAGTCCTCGATCTTGCAAGTGAGTTAATATGCGAGTGTGTGTGGGCTTTTTATGGCAAAGGAACAACAAAGACACAAAGGAATTCTTATTAGATTGCTAGTGCGTTACAAACGCTTAGGGTGTGTTTTGGCAAAAGTATTTTTTCGGAAAGTGTTTTCCGGACTTTCATCCGTTTGATTCTCCGAAAATGATTTGGTCAACGGAAAATACTTTCCGATCAACACAAATATCATGTTTAATTTTAGAAAAGTGAATTCCCTAATCTAAGAAGGTGAAAACACTTTCCGGAATTGCATTTGTTAATATTTTTTCTTTTCCTTTCTTTTCTTTCTTTTTCTTTTCTTTCTAAGAAAGAAAACATTCATATATTTTCTTTTCTTAATAAAAATAATTTAAAAATGACAAATAATTTGAAATAATTTAAAAAAATACAAATTTTTTTGATAATTTTCATTATCAGATTTTCCTTACTAAATAACTGAAAATACTTTCCAAGTCTTTTTTAGGTTTTAGTCAAATACCAAAAAATGAACTCATTTTCTTGGAAAATGATTTCCTGGAAAGTATTTTCCAAAAATGGTCCATTTTCTGCAAAACAAGCACACCCTAAGAGTGGATGAGCTTTCTTGGGGTTGGTATGTACTTCGAAGAATTGAACATTTGAGCATATTTATAGCCCAATTAACTTCACCGACTTAAGCCACCAAATATCTCTGCCATTTGCAAAGATAATGGCTGGTGATTTTTCATCATGTTTTTACCATGAAGTGGGGGAGACATGTAGACTTCTATGGTACCGTAGGGACACCATGCCCTCGTCGTATGCCAACGTGAAGTGTTGTCAGCAACTAGATGATAAATCCTTTGTGATTTACGGCATTCTACGTTTTTGGGGGAAGAAACTTAACATCTCCTTAATGAAACGAGTCTAAAATAACAGTGATTGCAATTTATGAGACTTTGTATTGGAAAAATATGAACTTATTCACTACAGCCTGTGACAGAGGGCACAGTGGCCAGAGGCATAACAGAAAAACCGACATCTACGAACTGGGTAGATGGCCGAGACTTGTCAAGAGGAAAAAACAGTCAGCTTATCAGGGTGTCTAGTATTCATCTTGGGTATTCATCTTGAGTTTCATGCCTGTTCTACGATGTCGGATCAAATCTTCTTAGGAAATCGCATGTCCTGGTCTGGAAAAGGACATGGTGCTGAGATAGGAGAGGGAATTCAACGGAACACACGTTAAGAATCGGAGTTGTTGGAGATCCTGTCGTCACGGTAAGAAGGAAAGCAACTCCTGCGAATTCGTCAACATTGGCTTGGGCTCACGGAAAAGTCAGACTTTGGACGGCCAAGAAACTCTGACGCAGAAAATCCCAACCACAGTGGTTGAGGAAATTAGTGAATTACTGGACAAACCCATGAATTTTATTTTATTTTTAATTTTTGGTCGAAGATTACCCCGTGACTTAGCGATTCCCCCTTATCACCAATGATGGAGGGAATGGAACTACTGAGCCCCAACGTTACGTTGGACTTTGGACAATAATGACGTCATCGGTCACTTTTACAGTTTACTACACTAAACCGAAAAATAAAATAAAATTTGTCTCTTTTCTTTTGGCTGGGAATCTGAAAAGGCAGTCCAAGCTTTTAAAAAGCCAGAAAACTTTTGCAGTGGCTGGCGCGTCATCTGAAAGGTACAGTGACCACACCATCTCCAGGTGGGATCAATTGTTATATATTATTGAAAAAAAAAATACATTTCAAGGGGGTGCGTGGATTGTTTTAAGTATATATAAGGGATAAGTGCATTTAAAATCTTAAAATTTATCATAATAGTGTGATTTAGTCCTAAAACTTATCATAAAAATGTAACTTAGTCCTAAAACTTTCAAAAACTAAAACTTTCAAAAATGTTTAAAAAGGCTCTAAAACTTGTCAAATTTGTATAATCAAGTCATTTTCTTGATTGCACTTTTTAAGAAAAAATTTTGGACTAGATTACATTTTTGTTATAAGTTTCAGGATTTAATTGCACTTTTTGAAACTTTTAAGACTCAATTATACTTTGATGATAAGTTTTAGGATTTATAATGCACTTATCCTTATAAATAAAGACCTATGTAATTAATAAACTTTCATCGAATATTTAATCCTGTTTTTGTATTTTTTTATTCTCTCACAAAATCAAGCCCTAACTATGGTCTTCTTTTTTTTTTTTATCGGTAGTGGTCCTTAAGATTTCAATACACATAAGAATATGTTGACTTACATTGTCGTGTATGTACAGGCTAGATCCAAAATAGCGAAACGAAACAGAAAATACAAAAAAAAAATTTCAAAAGAAACATAGGTAAGAGAGACTTGTGACACATTTACCCCAAATTTTCTTATGTGATACAAAAAACCCTAAACTTGTACTCGTGTGATACATTTACCCCCATAATACTTTGGCCCAAGGGCATTTTGATTTTTTTCCCTTCTTCTCTCTTCCCTGCGCCGGCCATGGCGGAGGGAAGCCGACGAGGGCAACCCTCGCCGGCATTGGAGTTGGGTGAGGGCTGCCCTCACCGGTGTCGGGCGAGAGTCGCCCTCGCCTGGGCGGGCGAGGGTAACCTTCGCTTGAGTCCCTCGCCGGCGTCGGGCGAGAGCCACCCTTGCCCGATCTAGCGAGGGCGACCCTCGCCTGAGTCGGGCGAGGGCAGCCCTCCCCCACCCAGGCGAGGGCAGCCCTCGGCTGATGCCAGCGAGGGTTGCCTTCGCTTGAGACGGGTGAGGGACTCAAGCGAGGGCGACTCTTGCCCGACGCTGGCGAGGGTCGCCCTTGCCAGATCCGGCGAGGGCAGCCCTCGCCCCACTCCAACGCCGGCGAGGTCTGCCTAAAAAAAATGTTCAGGGTAAATTTATCACAAATCGCATAGTTTGAGGTTTTTGGTAGTATTTTCCCTTTTTTAGTTTAAGGTTTCCTATTTTTGTGTATCTTAGTTTAAGGTTTTTGGTTTAAGTCCCTCTATAAATAAGAGAACTCTCATTTGTATAAGAAAAGATTTGTGGGTTAATAATACATGAAATTTTCTCTCAAATGAGTGATTCTTTCGGGTCTTTATCCAATTCGTTAGTGGTGAACCTATAAGTTCTAAAAAATAGAGAGGAGGAAACCTGTAAGTTCTTTATCTTGGTTATCAGTTTTTCTATCCCAAAGTTCTTTTTCCACGGACACATCAAACGCTCTTCCAATCTAACCACTCCTTGGGCACCCACCTTCTGGCACTTAATGCTCGGGGCTGCCCTCCTTGGTGGTGGTGGTGGTGGTGACCCGAGGCCCCGTTCTGTGAGGTCGCAGAATTCTTGAAGAGGGGATCATACTGGCAAATGAGAAATTTTGGGGCTTATAACGGGTTGGGCTTCCTCCCTTGGCAAACTAATTTTTTGGAATGAGTTCTTCCACCAATTTTAACGCATCAACCAGCTGGTAGCGTCTTTCCTTTGCTATTAATGACTTTTTTAAGGCAGAACTGTATCAGAAGGCCTGCATATTTAATTGGAATTGGTTTGGACTCTGTTTGAATGATGACTTCGTGAAATAAGACAACAGGGGACTTCCCCTTCACAAGCTGATAAAAATTTCCTGGTGAATTAAATTATTTCAAAGTCTGTGAGGTTACGTCCAAAGCAGGTCAACTCTACGTCACATGGAAAGGTATCAACTAATTGTGCAGATCCACGCGATCGATGTGATCGAGATTAAGTATGCAATGACTGATTAGAAAGAGCAAGAAGCGAGAGAGAGAGAGAGAGAGAGAGAGAGAGAGAGAGAGAGAGAGAGAGAGAGAGAGAGAGAGAGAGAGAGAGAGAGAGAGAGAACGATGATGATGGTGAAGGCTATATGGGAGACTGCAAAGGAAATTACGTTGCAGAGGATCATCATGTCATACCAGCTCCGTTCTGCAGCTCTTCTCCTTCCAAATCAGTTGGATGGTCTGTGTGTGATCGTCACGGGCTCCACCAATGGCATTGGTTATCACACAGCCAGGTCTCTCTCTCTCTCTCTCTTTCTCTCTAACTCAGAGTTCTCCCTATTGTCGTGTGATTTCAAAATGAAGGGGCGCTATGATTCTGAAGCAAACCAATGATATTTGAATCAGAGGACGAAAAGGGGAACAACTGCAGTAAGAAACAGTAGCTTGTATGTTTCTTTAGAATGGAATCTCAACTTGAATGAACGAGGTAATGGAATATCTAATTGCCCGAAAAGGTTTGACTGATGTTTTCTGCAGAGAACTTGCTTTCGCCGGTGCATGTGTGATAATGGCTTGCCGGAGAGTTGATGCGGCAAAGAAGATTGCTGAAAGGTGGAAAGAAGACGCAAATAATAGCAAGACCCTGCATGTCGAGGTAAAATAGCAAAACTGTGAATCTTGACAACTGTGCAAGCAAGCGTCCATGATCTGCATTTAACCACCTCATCACCAATGCCGATTTTCATCGCCCAAGTTTAGCACAGGCTTCATCATGGGTCCTGATAAATGAGTTAGATCAAACTGAGCAAAGCTTTCAGTTAATGAAGTTCTCTATACTGGCAAAAGACCTTAAAAGTAAAATTTTGAAAGGGAGCATTTTGTCATGGACCTTCACTGAGGGTAGTTGTCTTCTTGATGACCCTGGATGGTTTAAAGGACATTTGGATTGGACTTAGGATACTCTTCCAGACGTTTGAATCGTTGATTGTCTCTGACTCTAGCCATAATATGAGAAATGATCCAAATGCAGGTGATGGAACTGGACTTATTGTCCCTTAGCTCAGTTAGGCAATTCGCAGCTCAGTGGGATCAAAGTGGAAAGCCCCTTCATATTCTCATCAACAATGCCGGGATTCTTCTCCTGGGAGGTATAATTTCCTGCTGCTGTGTCGCATCATGTTCTCTTATACTTTTGCTCATCTACGTATGCGCTCAGTCAGTTCCTTCTATCAGTGCATAGACTTAGAGCCAGAAAAAAGACCCACGGAATGAATATTCTTCTTCCACTTTTTACTTTCTGTGGCAGAGCCGACGCAATTTTCGGAGGATGGACTTGAGAAGCATATTCAAGTTAACCACATTGCGGCCTCGCTGCTCGCCCTTCTTCTGCTCCCTTCAATGCTCAAAGCCAACTCTGCTCGCATTGTTAACGTCAATTCCGTGGTAACTGTTGTCTCTGAGATAAGAAGATCGTTTTGGAACTTCAAAAGAATTACCTATGAAAAAAATCCAGATGGTTTGCTGAACTTATACTAAGCTTAGAGAAAACCTAGGGACATCACTGGGGAGTTGTGGAACCCGAGTCCTGGAAAGTGGGCGCCAAGGAAGAACGTAAGTTCAGCAGCATGACGTCCTATGGATCAAGCAAACTAGCCCAGGTATGCACGTAAACTTGAATTTGGTCAAAAACAGAACAAAACAGTCCACTGTGAGGCAAAATTTTCCCCGCAACGTATTTTTCGACGTGCAGCTCATGTTTCTAAAGGCTCTAAGCACGAAGCTCGTAAGTATGGCAAAGACTTCGGTACTATGCGTAGCCGTGCACCCTGGAATCGTCGAATCAAACTTGGTAATCTGTCGACCCGGTTTATTAATCTTAGCTTTTTGTTCCACATGAAATTGTGGAATGACCAGGGTTGGCTTTTCGATGCTTTTTTGCAGCTGTCAGATGGCAGGATGAGAGGATTTTGGATGTTGGATCCTTCTGAAGGTAAATAAAACTTGTTTCCTATACTTACGATTATGGCATTATGCGCTTTAGGTCTCCTTTTTCTTCTTTTGCACGTGATTGAGTTCTCTTGCATAAAAATTACCTTTTCCGAGAATATAAAATGTAGATCTAGCAGATTAGGGCTACTGAGATAAATCTAAGAGTCGGTTACTGATAGCTGAAAAATCAAAGAGGACATGAACCAGAGATTCAGTAGAAATAGCCGACCAAACACATGAAAATAGAGGAACAATTGTCAACACGAACGGATTGTCCGCCATCTGATCCTCTGCCTTCCTTTCAATGTTTGTTGGACGAAAGATAATTCGGTTTTCTGGTAGAACAGAACAAAGTTACTCCGTTCATTTCTATTCATTATGGAATCGAGTCATAGACTGGTTAACCAGAAAAAGGATAGGGGGAACAAAAAGTTATCGACAGACACGGGCAGTTTTCTGCAGTATACTACAAGAAGAATAAAACATCTAATAGAACAGTGTAATCCTCGAGAAAGATGCGCATTTTTTTAGGTAATTTTCATTTGGCCACTGCTCAATAGCAACATAATATCTTGCTACATATTCTTGTTGGGTAGGGGCCAGAAACGTCCTATTTTGCTCTGTCGGAGCTGATGTACCGCGCAACACCACCGAGAACTTTGCATACTATAGCCAGTGTAAGCCAGGAAGGATGTCGGGCCTTGCAGATGATCCGAAGGAATGCTTGATAGTTTGGGATGAAACACTGCGCATTTTGGGTTTCAGTCCCAACGACTATCTGTCTGAAATTATTGCAAGCAGAAGCTTCTCTTGACCACTCTCTGTATAATGATCTTTCTTCCCTTCCCTTATGTTGTGCGGAGACATGTTGGCTCAAGCTTTAGGTGTGAAAATAAGACGTTCAATATGGTGGGGGAATGAAAACTTGTACAGAGAATTGCAGCACAAGTATGATGTGTTGGGCCACTATTGACCTTAGAGACGTGGTGCTTAAAACTTCTCTTAATCACTCTCCGGTGATTTTTTCCTCTTCTTGCATTGTCTGCTGCCCCATGTAACTTCGGTCACATAATTTACCCATCACCACTAAACAGAGAGTATTGTAGGCTATTCTAGAAAGCTTAGAAATGGACCATTTTTCAACACTCATCCGTGATTAATTTTCGCGATACTCCGGGCATGCTTCGTAGCATCTCAAACTCGACTTGCAGTAGCGCTTTGGTAAATATGCCCGCGACTTAGTCCTCGATCTTGCAAGTGAGTTAATATGCGAGTGTGTGTGGGCTTTTTATGGCAAAGGAACAACAAAGACACAAAGGAATTCTTATTAGATTGCTAGTGCGTTACAAACGCTTAGGGTGTGTTTTGGCAAAAGTATTTTTTCGGAAAGTGTTTTCCGGACTTTCATCCGTTTGATTCTCCGAAAATGATTTGGTCAACGGAAAATACTTTCCGATCAACACAAATATCATGTTTAATTTTAGAAAAGTGAATTCCCTAATCTAAGAAGGTGAAAACACTTTCCGGAATTGCATTTGTTAATATTTTTTCTTTTCCTTTCTTTTCTTTCTAAGAAAGAAAACATTCATATATTTTCTTTTCTTAATAAAAATAATTTAAAAATAACAAATAATTTGAAATAATTTCAAAAATACGAAATTTTTTGATAATTTTTATCATCAGATTTTTCTCACCAAACAACTAAAAATACTTTTCAAGTCTTTTTTAGGTTTTAGCCAAATACCAAAAAATGAACTCATTTTCCTGGAAAGTATTTTTCAGAAATGGTCCATTTTCCGCAAAACAAACGCACCCTAAGAGTGGATGAGCTTTCTTGGGGTTGGTATGTACTTCGAAGAATTGAACATTTGAGCATATTTATAGCCCAACTTCACCGACTTAAGCCACCAAATATCTCTGCCATTTGCAAAGATAATGGCTGGTGATTTTTCATCATGTTTTTACCATGAAGTGGGGGAGACATGTAGACTTCTATGGTACCGTAGGGACACCATGCCCTCGTCGTATTCCAACGTGAAGTGTTGTCAGCAACTAGATGATAAATCCTTTGTGATTTACGGCATTCTACGTTTTTGGGGGAAGAAACTTAACATCTCCTTAATGAAACGAGTCTAAAATAACAGTGATTGCAATTTATGATACTTTGTATTGGAAAAATATGAACTTATTCACTACAGCCTGTGACAGAGGGCACAGTGGCCAGAGGCATAACAGAAAAACCGACATCTACGAACTGGGTAGATGGCCGAGACTTGTCGAGGAAAAAACAGTCAGCTTATCAGGGTGTCTAGTATTCATCTTGGGTATTCATCTTGAGTTTCATGCCTGTTCTACGATGTCGGATCAAATCTTCTTAGGAAATCGCATGTCCTGGTCTGGAAAAGGACATGGTGCTGAGATAGGAGAGGGAATTCAACGGAACACACGTTAAGAATCGGAGTTGTTGGAGATCCTGTCGTCACGGTAAGAAGGAAAGCAACTCCTGCGAATTCGTCAACATTGGCTTGGGCTCACGGAAAAGTCAGACTTTGGACGGCCAAGAAACTCTGACGCAGAAAATCCCAACCACAGTGGTTGAGGAAATTAGTGAATTACTGGACAAACCCATGAATTTTATTTTTTTTTAATTTTTGGTCGAAGATTACCCCGTGACTTAGCAATTCCCCCTTATCTCCAATGATGGAGGGAATGGAACTACTGAGGCCCAACGTTACGTTGGACTTTGGACAATAATGACGTCATCGGTCACTTTTACAGTTTACTACACTAAACCGAAAAATAAAATAAAATTTGTCTCTTTTCTTTTGGCTGGGAATCTGAAAAGGCAGTCCAAGCTTTTATTGTGCTTTGATTTCTTTACCTCTATCTTGATTAGCTCATCCTCCCCAGCCTCTTTGGGATTTATTGTGCTTTGATGCCCCTGCTTTGGGCTTCTTGTCTAAAAACTCTTGACTATCAATGTTAGCAACTTTTTCGACCAAAAAAAAAATAAAAAGATAAGGGCACCAACATAGAAAGTAGAAGATGAGGAAATGAGAGCAATCGGAGCTGGAGAAAGTTAAAGGAGGGGTGAGATGTTGAGGAAGTTTAGGAATTAGAAACTGAAACTTGGTAGTAAGAACGGGTTCTCCCTCTCCTTTAATTACGGAAAAAAAAGATGTATACCTCGAAACAATTGTCAGCATCGAGTAGAAAAAATGTTCCTTGTAGTGTAGATAATGCGTAAGTTTTGAATTAGAAAGATGGAACTCCATATAATACTTGCGCAGTTATGAGCTCGAAGACGGGATTCAGGCGGCGGACGACAGAGTTACATTACAAGATTGGGCTAATCATATGGTTGTTAACCAAAACACCATGAATAGCCCAGTGACAATGGCAATTGACCCTAAATTTTACCTTAAGAAGCTAGGGATAGAGTGCCATATCAGAGGGGAAAAAACAGAAGACATACGAGAAAACAGATGTCCTGGAAAATGGCAAATACTAGGAATCAATTCTTAAAAATCTTCCTTGACAAGAGAAAGAACTAAATAATTCTTCTGATCAAGGACAAGCTGGCACTAACTATTCAGCACCTAAATTCCACCTCATTAGCCACGCATCGGACATTCGCCAAAAAAAAAATCCAAATCAATGGAATACATGTGAATTTCTAATTTCAACCAATAATAGAACTTTATTTCTTCCTAAAACCAACGACAATGACCTTAACGCTGGCAAAAGGACAATCTAGGCATACAGTCCACGAGCGCTTAGGTACGATGATTCCTCACCAAGATTCAATATCCAGAAGTGGATGAACATCCGGAAATGATATTAGATCCACATCTAGATCTGACGTCATGGATGTCCAAACATCATCCCAGCTGGTGTTGTTACTCGAAATGTCAATGTCGCTGTGGTTTTGCACATTACGGGAAGGATTTCGCAACATTCCCATCCTCTCCAGCTCCATAACTACTTCCTTCATTGAAGGTCGTCTCTTCCCCTGGAGGTCTAAGCATCTCTTTGCAAGGTAAGCAACTGCCAAGATCTCTTCTTCCTTACCTTGCTTCAAGACTTCAGAATCAAGAATATCAACTAAATGGTTCTCCTCCATGGAAAGTACAAAGTATGTTGCCAAACCTCTGTACTCTTCAGGCCTAACTATGGAGATTGGCATTTGACCGGTCAAGAGCTCCGCAAGGACGACACCAAAACTGTAAACATCACTTTTGTCGGTAAACTGACATGACTGGAAGTATTCTGGATCAAGGTACCCGAAGGTTCCTCGCACTTGCGTCGTCACATGGGTTTGGTCGATCGAAACAAATTTGGAAATCCCAAAGTCCACTATCTTTGCCCTGTACTTGTCGTCCAACATTATATTGGTTGACTTGATATCTCGATGGTAAATCGGTATTGATGCAGAAGAATGCAAGTAAGAAAGAGCCCCGGCAACTTCAGCAGCAATTCTCAAGCGCATCTCCCATGAAAGCACAAGCTCGTTTTTTGGGTCATGGAGATAGTGACTAAGCGTCTTGTTGGGGATAAATTCATAGACAAGAAGAGGTAGTTGCGTCTCCAGACAATAACCCAATAACTTGACCACATTTCGATGATTAACCTGCGACAGGATGACCAGTTCATTAATGAACTGCTCCACTTTCCCCACATCGGCGACCATTCCACAAGATCTCTTGATGGCAACAATTCTTCCATCCTCCAGCATTCCTTTGTAAACAGTTCCTTGACCACCTTGTCCAAGTATCCTCTCATTACTAAAATTGTTGGTAGCCTTCTCTAATTCCTTAGAGTTGAACAGTTTTCCATTTTTTACATGATTGCCGCCTTCACTGGAAGAAAGTTGCTGTTCCAGTAAGATACCACCATTTCGCTTGAAGAATCTTTCCTTTTGCTTTCGCCTCTTCCTCCTCTTCGTTACTCTGCATAACCTCCATAGAAGAAGAAGCAAAGCTATCGCAACGAGGCCCACGCCTATGCCTTATTTTGGAGCAAAAGAATCTTAGTCAGTCAAAATCTTCACTCGCCCCAAATGGTCAAAAGCTACAAGATTCATGATAACTGTTCCTTTTGATCCGTTTTTTTTAGTGCTCAACTATTTTATCATTTTGAGTAATGCACGAAATTACAAAACATTCCATCTCCATCTCAATTTAGTTAAAACTTGGAAAATTTTTTCCTATTATTTTACATTTCTAGGATAGCAGTTCTTTATATCCTAAGAAGTAAAGAATGAAAGAGCCTATGTTTTCCTAGATCTCCTGTTGTCCATTGCAGAGTGCCAGAATTTTGTTCTATTTACATGACAAAATGCAATGCACCTATCAAAGGACTATGCGAAAGGATTTTAAAAGTTTGTAGTATACGAAGGAATACCGATAGCGACAAATCTAACCATCCAGTCACGATCCACACATTCATAGGACCCTGGCCGATTCTCACACATCCAAGGGCAATTGTTCAGTGTTGGATCTTCGCATTCGTCGACATCTGCACAATGAAAATTCTGGTTGCTCATCAACATGCCCTAAAAGGACAACATCAGTTTTGCTTCAAAAGATTTACTCCGACAGAAGGCCACGCCTTTTTAAAGGTTAGTTAGCTTTTGTTTTTAATGTCTATGCTCTTGCTGATTAATAATAAACAGTGCAAATAAGCCATGCTTCTTGTTGTTTCAAGAATCAACTCTTGAAAATGTGTATTGGTTGGGGCAAAAGCCGACACGAAACACCAGTCAACAGGATTCACAGATTGTTGTTTGCACAACTTTTACACGGCAACCTTCATCGATTGTTTCCACCAGACCATTGAAAAAGACTAAGCAAATCGTTTAGAAATCATGAAATATCATCACATGAACATTGGAATTTGCATATCTTCTATTTTCACTCGGTTGAAAGACTAAATTCTTCCAATTCCAAGCAAACTCACCGGTCAGATTGCACGCGATCAGAGACATGTGGATTCAATGATGTATGATGTATCAATAATCAAAGTTGCTTTACCTTGACAATCTGCAAGGTACGCATTCCCGTCGTAACCAGACCTGCAATAACACCTGTATAATTTCGGGAACCGTTCACTCTCCGGTTCACCATAATACTCGCAGCCAGACGAATCTCTTCCACTCAATCCGATCACACTCACCATCTCTTTCGTAATCCCCCACTCCAACACTCCAGGCACGTACTCCATCTCTCTCAGCATCCTCAGGTCCTTCGATTCATTAAACTCTAACCATTGCTTATCCGCCAGGAACGCGAGCTTACATTCCTCTCCGACGGCAACAGTGTCGTGGTCGCTGATCCACTTGAACTTGACATCGAACTCCTGGAGCCCCGACGGGATTGAGGTCCTGCAGCAGCCGACGCCGGAGCAGTTGCTGAAGTTCCCGAGGCCACCTCCGTCGCAGTGGGAGGCGCATCCGACAACGGCAGAGGCGGTCTCCGCCATCACAGCAAGGTTGTTGCATCCAACAGCGGCGAAGAAGTTGCCGGGCTGGGAGAAGGAGTACGGGCTGGAGCGCAGACTCACGTTTGGAGGAGACGGCCTGGCGCCACCGCATTGGTGTCGGACGATTGGGAGGTAGACTTTGACCGTGCCGTCATGGAGGCCGTAGGAGGTCTCCGACGCGGCAGTGGAGTTGGCAGTGTAGTAGGCCGGGAGGGAAATGTTGAGGACCTGCAAGTCAAGCTTCCGGAGGACCGGTACAGTGGCGTTCCGGCCACAGTCGATCTCGAACCACTCGTCGAGGAAGCATCCGACTGGGCCGAGCCCGAAGGGGAAGGGTATGGTCACGTTCCCGCACTTGGGCTCGCATCCGGGCTTCGCGGATCGAAATGTCGGTGCGGCGAAGGTTGATATCGGCAAGAGAAACGAACAAACGATGATGGTTTGAATCAATTGATGATGCATGCTTTTTATGTTCCTATGGAGACGATGATCAGCGCCAGTGATTATTCGTCAGCCTGATCGAAGCGTGAAAACGGCAAGGCCTCTCATGCTAGCAAGTGCGGCGAGGTTTTATGTTGGATTCCTACTCGATGTATTCATTCGTGGTGATATCACGAGCAATTCCTCGAAAATCTCTTGAATCTCGATGCGTATACCCTATATTCGACCCGGTTTAGATTGATCGGTTTGATGTTGATGTGCAAAAGCCAACGTTAAATAACCCATCTTGTGGAAAATAAACTATACTTCTAGATGCCATGTCTACGTCTAGAAGGTCAAGCCAAAGAAAGTTCCACTTTGATTAAAGGGTATTTGTCAATGGTGATTTTGCTTTTTTTCTGTTTTATAAGTTAAGGGAAAGATTGACGTTTAGACATAGATTGACCGAGACCCGATTGGAGTACGAATGGTCAGCATCTTTCCACGACCGGTACTCAATAGATTAATGCTGAAGACTTGAAATTATTACTGTTAGCCATAGTCAAGCATGCACTTCCAAAAACCTATTTGAGAAAAGGTGCTGAGAAAGAAAGTACCTGGCACTTGCGTTCGTATGCGACAGGATAGACAAACAGAAAAATGGAGAAATAGATATATGCAAAGTAGAGGTTTCAACGAAGCTTTTGCCGTGCCGACACGTGGCGAATCCTTGAGCTGCCTGAGGGGCTTAGGTATGGTCCGTTCTTTCGACAAGTTTTGATATTTTATTTTCAACATCATGTGCCAATCTAAACGTGCCTTCTAGAGAAGCTGTGTTTTCTTTCGATCTACCTTTCTATTTTTGTGGCATTTTGCACTTAAAAAAATTCATATGAATTCATAGCTTTTTTTTTTAAAAAAAAACTTGTATTGAACACAATCTGCCTATGATGAGCTAACGAGATGACGATAGATTTGTTGTAATGCAAGGTGCGGACATTTTTCACCTTAACTATTGTTGAGATCTAATATGAAACAGTCCAAAAATTTTGAAAAGATTATGTCGAGTACAATCTGTCCATGATGAATCTAATACGGATCAAGATCGATATATCATAATGCAAGGTACAAATACAATACGTCTCTTGGACTTGTATATAGTTCATGACCCAATATAAAGTAAGATAAATCATGAATGAGCCCACATATTTATATTGCCTTTTTCTATGAACCCATTAAATATAACGGATATATAAATTGGCGAAAGAAAGAAATCAGTTGAAGTACTATGAAGTACTGTTGTTTAATCGGCGACGCGGCGGAAGCGGATCATAACTTTGTAATTAAGTCGGAAACTGTAGAAATGATAGAGAAATAAAACAAGGAACGATAAAAAAAGAAACGCGAAATTTACGTGATTCGGTCCGAATGTCGGAACCTACGTCCACGGGGAGAATCAGCAAATAATCTATTAATAAATTGGAGAATTACAAGGTTACAATTACCCACACAGTCGAGTGTTTCCCAGTCCTAGTATATGCCCAACAACCATAATGTTTAATAACTCAACTCGATGATCTCACTCTCCACACAAATCTCTCCGTCTCTAGAGAGCTCTCTCCTTCATTTCGTCTTTGGAGCTCTCTGGAGTAGTCCTACCGGTTCCGGTTCATAATTTAAAATTTTAAAAAAATTATTAAATAAAAAAATAATGAAATTATGAAATAATGAATTATTCAATATAAATTGTAATCAAAATGTAAATTGTAATCAAATTTGGGGACAAAAAGAGAGAATGAGGGGGCTTGAATTTAATAAATTATCATTAAGCGCCTTACAATTCGTTACAATGATCTATAAAAAAAAGGAGTACAATATATATGCCCTAAAATGACCCAAAAACCTAAGCCTATTCGAACCCCCGCATTCCGTGTGCAGGGGTCACATGTCGTCGGATTATACTTCGGTTTCCCTAAGCTCACGTGGGCGTGCCCGGTATGAGAAACAAGGGTTCCCAAAATATTTGCCAACTCCAACAGTTCTTTTATCCTCAGTCGTCGCTACCCGTTCCGGTAGTGGTACCGGTACCGGTGGTATCTCCGTCGTTAAAGAATTCGGATTCATTATTCCGATCTATCTCTTGTTGTCGGTATTGAGCCTTCGTCCAATCATCGACACAAGCTTGCATCTCCACTGATTCCGGAGCTAATCTTGAACGATATTCGTCCAAAATATTACCTCCCGCACTAAATGCTTGTTCGACGGCAACTGTGGAACAAGGGGTTGCAAAAATTTGTTTTGCAATAAGATAAAGGATTGGGTATTGGCTTGCGTGCTTCTTCCATCAATCCAAAATTAAAAAACCTGTACTACCTTCGGATTCGGAATCAGTAAACTCAAAGGAAACGGTTAGATAAATCTCTAATTCAGAAATATTTCCTATTGCTCCATTTTGTTTTTTGTGTCTATTTAATAAAAGTTGGTACCCTCTACTAATTTTACCTGTACTCTCATTTTGTGTCTCGGTAGATTGAGAAGATCCAATATCACCTAAATTATATTTAGTATAAAATTCATTATATAATTCTATTACTACGTTTTTAACCTCACGTACTATGGTTGTAACATTTATCGCATCATAATGTAAACATTGATAATACGTATGCAAACAATCACTTAAACCATCTAATTTGCAACGCGGATCAAAAACACAAGCAACTAAATAAATAATGGAAATTTCGCCATAATAATGTAGCCACTTCATTTTCATTGTTACTATAGTATGTTGTAATTCAATATCATTTTCATATTCGTCAAAAATTCCGACATTATTAATAAACTCTAATAAAAATAAACGCGTAGTAGGATAATAAACACCGGACAAATTATAAGTTGCATCATTAAAAACCTTTAAAAAATCTAAATTTTTTTTGCAAATACCCCACTCTTGTGGGTATAAATTAATCTGAGGTATATTATTAGAAATGATTGCACATAATAAATCTTTATATTCATAAGATTCATCAAGCAAGTGAAAAGTAGAATTCCAACGAGTTGGAACATCTCTTGGAAATCTTTTTGGCTTTCTGGCATTTTCTCTACAAAATTTACCCCATTCTCTCATTTTTTGGGGATGTTTCCATAAAAATTGAATCGCCGTTTTTATTGGTTCAAGAAAAATATCAAGAGTTTTCAAACCATCTTGTACACATAAATTTAAACATGACAAGCACATCTAACGTGAAAAAATTTCCTGCCAAAAGCGGGTTTACAAATATTTTCTAAATCGGCAATTGAAGCAGTATTTGCCACGGCATTATCAAAACCAATTGAAAAAATTTTGTTAAGCAAATAATATTCTTCTAAAATTTGCCTAATCATTCTATAAATATTATTTGCCGTATGCTTATCATCGAAAACTCTAAATGCAATAACTCTTTTTTGAATACTCCAATCGTCATCTATCCAATGACATGTTATGCCCATGTAAGAATGCATTTGCCAATGATCACTCCAAATATCACTACCTATATGCACGCGTCCATTAAATTGTATAAAAAAGTTTTGTAAATCCTTTTTTCCATTTCTGTAAAGATCTTTAATTATTCGTTTAAGTGAATTTCTAGGAACACGTTTTGCTTGTGGAGCACATACTTTTTGTACAAATTGATTAAAACCAAATCTTTCTCCAAAACTAAATGATAAATGCTCAACGGAAACAAATTTACCTAATTCTTCCTTATAAGTTTTTTCATTAAAATGAAATAAAGGGGAAGTGTTAGGATTAACGTACCCGAAAATTTATTGTTGCCTGATATCGATTCCCGTTTGGGTTGGATGTTTGCTCCTAAGATGTCGTTTGAATGATCCATATCCTTGTCTACCTGTATATTTATATATTTTCCCACAATGTTTACAAATTATATCATACCTTTTTTCACCAATATCAAACCTTTCTATTTTCGTGAAATGATCCCAAATGTCAGATGTAAGTTCCCGCTCCGCCTCCTTTGTTGTAGATATTTCGGCAGGAGGATGAAAACTTTCTTGCGTCGGGACGCGCTCCACATCGGGAAAAATGTTGATTTCATCATCTTGAAAATCTGCATAATCACAAGGATCAAAAGAATGATGGGATTACGTCATGATATTCTTACCTTTGCCAGTTGGCACTCGACTTCCACTTGCCATTTTTCGAGTGGAATGAAAGAATTGACCGGATTGATTGGGAGAATTAAGAGAGAATTGCGCGGATTGAGAAAATTGAGAGAATTTAAGAGAATTTGAGATAATTTAGAGTATCGAGAAAATTTGAGAGAAGAGAATTTGAGAGAATTGAGACTTGAGAGTATCGAGAGAACATGAGAGAATTTTAGAGAATTTATAAGAAAAAAAATGAGAAGAAAATTTAGGATAAAAAAAAAAGCTAGATAACCGTTGCAATACGGTTATCTTTATAATTTTTAATTTTTTTTTAATTTTTTTACTTTTGGGGCTTTTACAGGCTGCCCTGGCAACGAGCCGCAGCAGGGCCTGCAGACGTGCAGGCCCTGCTGCAGGTTTTTTTTTTTGAATTTTTTTTTTGGAACCGGGCAAGCAGTTCCGGGCCGGTTCCAAAATTTCTGGAACCGGAACCGGGCCCGTAGGCCACGGGCTTGTTCCAGTTTCGAACCGCGGGGCCCGATCAATGGGCCGGGGCCGGGTTTGACCGGGCCGGTTCCGGGCCGAAATCAGCCCGTGGCCATGACTACTATGGAGTCTGTCTTTCTCTCTTGTTCCGTCTCTTGCTTTTATAGAAGCGGGGAGCAATTTTAAGAGAGAAGAAAGTCAAGAATGCGCCCATAATCTTTGAAATAATCATAAGAAGGGGTGGGTTGCCGTCTTCATAGATCTTGTCCATTGACGTTCAGCTTCTTCAATTAATGCGCACATGGAAGCTTCATTGTTCTTTTCTTTTGTCGGTCTCGGCTGAATGAACTAACAGAGAAAAGTGACCAAAGGAAGTCGATGAACAAAGACAAAACAAGCCCACAACTTTTACTTTTTTTTTGCCTTCATCTTCAACGTCCATTATGGGGCATGCAGGCACATGTGCATGCATTTAAAGAAGTGGGAAATTGATGGACTTGAAAGACGTGCACATCTTTGACAAATATACGCATGTGCAGAGGACGTTCATGCTTTGCTTCTTGATTGTCAATTTTGCGCGAGACTTTGAGCAATAAATGATCTACGTGTGTATCAGATCTCGT